GAGAGGGGTTGGGGGAGGGGGGACAAACCTGGCCAGAGAGAAAACTGCATCTTCCAGGGCATGCTAATTCATAACATAGTAAATGACTCCTCTGTGAGGCCATATCCCCAACCACCTCCTCTATCTAGCTCTCACACACCATCCCCCTGCCCTAAGTCACCCAGGGCCAGTTGACAGACAGCTAGGGACAGTCCCTATAGCCCAGAGCCCACCGACGTTATCCGCACTAGCCAGTCCTAAGCTGTTTCCCTGCCCTGTCTTCCTTTCTCTTGGAAAACACAATCCAAGCTCTGGGTCACACTTTCCCATGCTCCTTCTGCCTCCTAACCAAACCTAGTGCTCCCCCCATGTGGCCCTGTGTGGTGTAGCATGTCCCCTTCTCTTGGAGACTATCAGTGGCATTAGCCTCTCTCCATGTCAGTCACCTCTACAAATTAAATCCTGGTACCACTGAGACACCCAGCTTAAAAACCTCAGACACCTTTCAGCATGAAGCCCAAGTCCTGACCTGACACCTGGGGCTTCCCAAGGCTGGGTCCCAGCCTCCATGCTCCACTTGATATCCCACGTCACCCCATCCTGCATCCTCCACCTCAGCCTCATGGTGTTATTCCCTGGTCTCTAACAAGCCATCCCTTCTCAGTCGGTGTCCCCTCCTCCTCCAATTTTCCAAGTTTATATTTTATAAAGAACCCTTTCCCTTTTATTAACTGCTAATATGCTGAAGTCTCGGTTCCAACGCCATCCTCAAACTCCACAGCTGGAATTCATTTCTGCAGTATTTTTTTTTACCCACTAGATTTGCAAAATTGTAACAGTGGCTCATAGCCAGTGTTGTGACAGTGTGGGGGATCAGTGTCTCTCACACACTGCTGGTGGGAACAGAATCGGATGCAACATTTTCGGAGGTAAATCTGGCAATTAAATGCACAAGACCTTTGCCCTAGACATCTCACTTGTGGGGAATCTACCAGAGAGAAGAAATATGAGTGTGGCGATGTTTATTGCAGACGTGCCAGTTAAGAGTAAAGAACCAGAAACAATCTAAATACCTAAATATATTGTTGTGCAGCCAAGCAGCAGAACAGGATGCAGCTGTTAAAAAGAATCTGACAGACCCAAAGAACCCATAGATGCATTGGTAAGTGAAAAGCTTAAATTGCAAAACAGCGCATGCAGTCTAATCTCATCAAAATACACACACGCATGCGTGTGCACACAAGTATCAGCAAAGAGGAGTCTACAAGAATACACTTCAAACTGTTATCAGTGAGAGTGGGCGATGATCAGTTTTACTCTATATACTTTGGTATTATAAGCTTTTCTTATCATAAGCCAGGGTTATACCGGAGATTAGAAAAAGATTATGTTAAAAAAATGTTATTAAAAAAGTAAGTCATTGTCTATAGCCATGCTACCCTGAACACGCCCGATCCTGTCTGATCTTGGAAGCTAAGCAGGGTCGGGCCTGGTTAGTACTTGGATGGGAGACTACCTAGAAAGACCAGGTGTTGTAATCATAAAAAGAAAAAAAAAGGTAAATCATTGCTTCTTCTGTGATTCAGAGAACGACACCATTGTGCCTCTCCAGTGACTCCCATCATACTGCGTCACACTGTGTTCAGTAGTGGGCATGTCTGCCTTATCCACCGGACAAGGAACTCCATGAGGCAGGCCTCTGGCACAGCTCTGGAGCCAGCAGCCAGTGGAGATCCGTAAGCATTGATGTGACCGAGCAGAAGGCCATGACTGCACACCTGGGGCAGGAGGGAGGGCACAAAGCCTGCCAGCTCCCAGGACCAGGTGAGAAACATGCATGCAGGACACCCCTGGGGTGGGGATGGTTAGCAGTGTCAGATGGGGAAACAGGCTCCACTGAGGCGGGGTCGGGCAATCAGGAAGAGGATATCTGTGCTAGTTAGGCTGCTCCCTCTGGGTGGATGCACCCCAATCAGATCCTCAGTCCCAAATACCCTTGGGGTTATCACTATGGTCTTTATCTCCATAGTTAAAGGAGAGATATCTGAGTTGAAAGGATCCTTAGATGCCATCTGGCCATGTAGTCCTCAACAATCTTTTGTGAAGCACCTATTTATTACATGCCAAGTACTAGAGACATAGAAATGAATAAAACAGCCCCTCACTAGAGTTTGGATCATAGTGGGAAAAGGAGAAAGCTGACCATGCAATTAATTCAGTACAGATGAAGCAAAGAAAATAGGCAAACAATCAGGAACCAGAAAACGGGGCACCCAACCCAGATTACGGTGGGGGGACTTCAGGGAAGGTAAGGCCTACGCTGAGCCTGGATGGGTGAGGAAGAGACCAGACCAATCAACCAAGCCCCTTGATGCCCTTCTTGTCATTCATAGAGAAGGCTCCTCCTGGGTGCTTTCTTCTAGCCACTGTTTTAAAATATATGAATTCGAGGCTATACATTTTCCTCTAAATAGAGCTTTGGCTATATCCCATTGTTTTGATATGGAATGTTCTCATTTTTATGCAGTTTTAAACAGTTTACAGTTTCCATTTTGATTTCCTCCTTACCCTCAAAGTTTTACCTTTCCAGGCATATACTTAACTATATTCTAGTTGTCGATATCTAAGTTTACTGTACTGTGGTCGAACATGACCAGTAGGCTATCAATTTTTTTAAAAAATTTGAGATTCTGTTGCAGCCTAATGTATGTTAAATGTTTGTTCACATGTGTTTGACAAGAATGTCAATTCTCCGTTAGGGTATATCTTCTGTGCAGTTTTTAGATCGAGTGCATTAATTGTGATATTCAAGGCCCCTCTCTCCTTAGTATTTGCCTACTTGATATGTCATTTTCTGAGAGGCCCCCCGGCTTCTCTCATACATGTCCTGCTTTTCCTCAAGGAGGCCTTCTTCTATTGCTTCCCTTTTCTGCAGTTTAACATATACTATTTTCCAGGAAATTTCCCATAAGTGACCCCAGTAAATTCTGAGCACTGACTCCTTTGGCTTGCCCTCCATCTGCTCAGTGCTAATCTGCCACGGTCAGTCTTTCCCTCAGCTTGCATATGCTCCCAGCCCTTACAACTTCCCCTCCCTCCACCTCTCCAGCGTACCCAGTTCAAAGGGCCCTAATAAAAACAGTCATCCTCTCAGCTCAGATGCCAGGCTCTGCTCACCTCCTTCTGGATTTCACTCTTGAGGGCGGAGATTTTCATTTTCATGTCCTCCAGCTCGTGGTCTGGGAAGGGGTGCACATGGGGGCTGGCCTCGGACTCCTCGGGGGATGGAAACACGAGGTCAGCCAGGGGGATGTACCATTTGCAGTCATATTGCTGGTGCTTCCTGCAAACAAGCCAGAAGAAGACATAAGCCAGAAGGAACTTGGCTTTTTAAGCCTGAACTCCTAGAACCAATAAATAACCTAAACGGATTACTGAGAACTTGTCACAGACAAGAATGAGCCCTTGTCCTTGAGAAGCCCAATCAGGAAACACACACGTGAAGTAATGATGGTCAGGTTCTAGGGTCAGGCAGCAGTGAGGATTCTGGGCCTTGGCCTCGCCAGTCTCCTGGTCTCATATGACTGATGTTTTCAAACATCCCAAACCTCTAGGATAGGAGCAAAAGTGGGCTCACACTTTCCTATTCCTCATCCCACACTCTCCCCTCCCTTCCAGCCTATCTATACTTAGCTCATATTCATTATCCTTTAGGCTAGAGATGGAATACAAATATTATTTTGAATGCCAATGACCCACAGAAGTTGCTGGGTTGAGGATTATGAAGCCACATTCAAGCCTAGTGGGAAACAGTGCTATGGTTTATTAGTAATGTCTGCCATGGGCAAAGGACTTAAGACATAGGTATGTTTGCTTATGATTCCATCTCTGCCTTAGAATTGTCTCAAACCTAGTTCCAGGGAGTCATCCCCTTTACTGAAGCACATAATAACCTCTCCTCTCACTTGCCCTAGGACTCAGGTTTGCACCTCTCATTCCGGTCCCTTAGAGTTTCAGTGAGCATATGAATTGTCTCCCCTGGACTATAAGCTAGTGTACTTGGCACGCAGGAGGTGGAAGAATGTGGGATGAATATTAAATAACCTTTCTGCTCATGGCACAGAGCAGACCCACATCACTAAGTATAGAGATGGAAGTGAAAAGAAGCTTTCGAGTCAGATTAAGGTTCAAATCCCACCATGTCCACTTCTAGTTGTGCGACCGTGGGCAACTTATTTAGCTTTTCTAAGTCTTTTCTCTCATCTGTGAGATGGGGATAATAATACCTACTTTGTAGAGTTGTTAGGAAGATTAGAAATGATATATTCAAAGCATTTGTCATGGCACCTGGCGTGGCAGAAGCACTCAATAAACGATAGCAGATTTAATGAATATTCACTCACTTGCAGTTAGCAAAAATGTAGAGATGTCAAATAAAAGGAGAATGCTTAAGTAAATTATAGCATATCCACTTGTAACATCACGCAGGAAAGTAAAATGATGATTATGAAGATTAGGCAGCAACAGGGAAAATGCTTATGACGTGAAATGGAAAAAGCAGAGCCCCAAATTGGGTATTCACTCTGATTACAAGTACGTGAAAAAAAACATAAGAACATTAAAAAAAAACTAGAAGGAAATATAGCAGCAGGAGACTGATGCTTATGTTCGGGTGGGTGATGGGTTTTTGTCTGTAATTTGGTTATATTATCTTATAATTAAAAACATGATTTATTTTTAGAAAAAGGCTTTATGTCGTAAAATAAAATTAATTAATATGTTTTTTAAAAGGAAAAGAAATGCAGATTGCCCCGGGTTGTTGAGGGATTCCACAGGAGGCAGAATCTAGCTGCCCTCCACCTTGACCACCCTGGACGGGTGCACACTCACCCCACAGAGGTCTTCTTTAGCTTGGCACACAGGAGGACGTCTGTAAAGAGGAAGACGTGCCGCAGCTTCCGGGAGCCCTCCGACACTTCCACCAGGAAGCCGTCCTTCACCAGCTGCCGCGTCTAAGGGAGATGGCACACCCGCCCACCTGCTCAGGGGGAGTCAGCCCAGGGCCCAGCCTACACTGGGGGCACCATCCAGTTGGGAGCTGGGCTGCAGGAAGGGTCCATAATGCCTGGTGGTTAAGAACACTGGCTTCGGGGTCACATGGACACAGGCTCAAATCCAGACTCTGCCACTTCTCAGTTGTGATCTTAGGCAAGTTCCCTGACCTCTCTGAGTCTCAATTCTACCATCTGTAAAATGGGGATAATGATGTCTGCCCATAGGAAGGATTCATCAAGATGGTATATGTAAAACAGCACATCATGTGACCAACGAATGGTAGCTTTACATTTTTCTGCAGCTCTCAACAGCTCCCGCCTCGATGGACCCTAGTTCAGGATGACTTGGTTACGCTACCCGGGGGCATAAACACTCCTTACCCCAATCCCACCCTAGAACCTCCCCCACAACCCTAAGAAATTGATCAAGTTCTCAGACCTGTTGACGCTACCTCTGAGTGACTTTTTCAACCACTACCAGGCCCTACGCTACCCTCTGTGGAGCTATACTGTGTCCTGGGGAACCTGCAACCATTTCTAACCTGGGTGCTGGATAGTCAAGAGCACTATTCTATGCAAAACTTCCAGTTTCCTCTTTGCCACCAGAGGCAGCAGGCTCCTTGGGGCTGTCACAATTTGTCCCATTACTCTCTGTGTATATTAGATAATATGTGACCCACATATGCTACAATTGTAGGTGAGCATATTGAACGTATATAATTAAAATGATCAGAAAGTGATAGTGCTCTAAGCCCTCTAGAAACTTTTCTCTGAGTCAAAGGACCTAGTGACATTCCAGGGTTTGCAAACAAGGGCTGGGAGCTGCATGCAGATAGCTCTCTGTGCCTATTAGTCACTCTCCAGACCCTGTTCCTCATTACTTCCCTCCCCAGGAGACACTGAGACTTGTAAACGTAACAAAGGAGCATAAACCCAGCCGACCTTCATTCCTAACCACTTAATTACCTCTCCTGGACAGGAAGCACTGTATGTGGGCCAGGCTGCTGACCCACGCAGGTAACTGTCCCTCTGATTCTTCAAATTGCTTCCCTTCACTGGGGCACCGCTACCCTTCCACCAAGAAAGGTCCCCAGGGAACTGGAGCTGCTGTACCATATCTAGGAACCCACCTGGGACATTCCAGCAGCCTGGCTGCCTCAGCCACCCTCCCCAGCAGCCTTTCCTGCTGTGGGGCTCACTCCCTAGCTCCTCCCACCTGCTCATGAAGGCTGATGAGAGGCAGCTCAGAGCTCAGGTTTCCTCAGACTACAGAGCTCCCTTAGACTGAGCCATTATCTTCCAGGGGACCCTGAGGGCATCTTACTGCCCAGAGAGGGGTGTTTGCATTAGAAAATGAGGTAGCCAGCACCTCCCCCTGGTATGGGGACAGCGCATGGAGCTTGCAGATAGATAACTCCAGCTAAAGAATCCAATTCTGCACTTATGGCCAAGAGACCTTGTGCCAGACCTGGAGACTCTACAGGCCTCAGTTTCCTCTTAAGCTTTAATAAACTATTACGAAGACTAATGAGACACTGGCTTAAAGCTGTCAGCCCAGGGCCTGAAGGCCTTTCTTTGGCTGAGAATGAGAGATCAGAGCTGGAGAGGCACAAGGCACAGGGCAGCAGTGCCTGTGCATGCAGGAGAGCAGGGATGGGTGATCTGGTCCACTGTACCCTCCTCAGCCTGGGAGTGAGGCTGTGCTGGGTCCTGAGCTCACCTCCCCTTTGGGAGTTGTGACTGCAGTCCGGCGGGGGTCAATGTCCTCATTGATGCTGGACAAGAAGTTCTGGGAGATGCGGAGGGCATCCTGTAGCAGCGGATAGTCTGGGTGGTCTACAGGTGTGTGCTTCAGCAGGTCCTGGAAGGGTTGTGGTGGTAAGTTGAGGGGAGTGGTTCTGGGGCTCAATGAGAAGATAGTGTGAAGCACTCAATTCCTATTATAAGAATTCTAAGGGGGGCACTCAGGGATGCACACTCTAATCTGGTCATGCCTGCAAAATCTGAACTAAAAATGAGGGTCGGTGAAGCAGGGGTGAGGGCAGTGGTGCCCCTTTATTTCTGTTGCAGTCATTACTCACCGCCCCGCCCCCCCC